TGTCCGCGCCGCCCCGCGCTCTTCCCCTGGCTCTGGCCGGTGCAAGTGCCCTATCGTAAAACCAAAAACTTTTTAAAAGTCGCCCCCAAATGAACTCGTGCTTTTATTCCGTGTTCCACGAACTCTAGTCCCGCTCGTTATCTTCGGAGGCGTCACCTGCGCTGTGTGCAGCCGTGGCTGGTTCCCGCTTGGGAACATAGGCCGTGTGGCTCCGGCTTCCAAGGCAGCGGCCACTGAGCTGCACACCCGGGCCGACTGCACACCCGGGGCCGAGGTGCACACCCTGGGCCGACCTGCAAAGCCAGGCAGGGAGCCGCAGAAGCCCGGCAGCCCTCTGCAGAAAGCCAGCTGCGAGGCAGGGGCCTTCCTCAGCCTGGGCTGGAGCTTCTGCCCTCCTAGACAGATGTCACTATGTATCCCTTTTATGTGTGAGACAAGAGCGATACTGAGCCCTCTGCTGAAGGCCGCCTGGGACTTCACAGGGACTCTTGGTCACCGGGTAATTCCGTTCTGTCCGGGACCTCAGGTGCATCACCCTGGTGGCTCTGAAGACCTCTGGGCGATGCTGGAGCTCCTGAAGAGGGTTTCCAGGGCAACTCCTGAACCAGCTTTCAGACCTCTGGTCCCTAGCCATGACCACACACACTGGGCGTGCTGGGCCCAGCCTGGACCTCACTGCTGTCACAGTTTAGCTCGGTGGTGCACTACTGAGTCACGCCTGTCCCTCCTGAAGGGCAGGCTAGTTCCCCATCCATGGGTCCCCGAGGCCAAGGTGCCTGAGTGTGACAAGACACTTGGACAGAACTGTGCTTTAGAGGTTGGACCCTGCGTCCCCAAGGGGGAGCGGCCACTTCAGGAGTGGCAAGAGGCCAGGTCAAGAGGCCTGCTGCTCCAGGCCCTGGAGTGAGGCCACTCAGGCGGTGCTGGTGCTGTTCCCACAGACCCAGCAGTGATGTAACAGTGAGGTCAGCCACGCCCACCCGGACCAGCCTCTGGAGCTGCAGATAGTTGCTCTGAACCACTGATTTGGGAGTTGTCCCCACTGCATAGTATAGGCAGTGCAGCCCTCTGCATGCTGACCCGGGAGCCTGGGCCGTAAACCCCCATGGCAGAGCCGAGACTCGGGCATGCCCAGGCCAAGGACGTGGCAGACAGAAAGACCAGGGCCGCTCTGAGAAACCCAGCCCGTAGACACTGCTGCTATGAGCCGGGGACCTGGACGGCTAGTTAGCCCTCGGCACACAGTCGGCCTGGTTTCTTTCAGTTTGTTTGTTTGTTTGTTTGTTTAAAATAATTATTTATTCATTGATTTTAATTTGATCAGAGTCACAGAGAAGGGAAGAGAAAGCAAGCCACCAGGTCCGGGACTTGAGCCGTCAGCCATGAGAGTGTCCAGTGCCTTAGTCACCATGCCACCTGCTGGCCCAAAGCTGGCCTGGTTTCTAGCAGGCCCCCTTTCTCTGTCGTAGCGTGACGCCCCCTGGACTCCTGTGTGCCCCTGGACCATGCAGGGTCACTGCATGATTGCTGACTGCTCGAGTCCCATCCTGGTGGCTCAAGTCCAGAGATGAAGAGGAGTCCAGGTCCGCGAGGTCCCACGGACATCCCTCTCAGGGCGGCTCCAGACGCGGCAGGCTGCTGGCCTCATTTGATGGTGTGGCCTGCAGAGAACAGGCCAGCGTGTGTAAAGGGGACAAAGGCAAAACTCCGCCTTTGTCTTAAGCCAGACCTTCAGGCCAAGCTCAGCCCATGAGAGCCAGAGAGGCCTCCAGGGCCCTGTCGGGAAGCCCAGTGCAGTCTGTGCCCCTGCCTCTTCACACCCAGTGACCTCAGTGTGCCTTTTAGGTTCCTCCATGAGGGCACTTCGACTTCGCTGAGTCACTCCGAGAGGAGCCTTTCTCGATTCCCTCAAGCTGCTGACAAGCCTGAAGGTTCTAGACTGCAGTGAGACCAGACCTACTCATTGCCGGGTTTTAAAGTGCAGCTCCGACAGGCCCGTGCTCTTGGAGACCCCAACCGTGCTGAGAGTGGGATGGCAGGAAAGGTCTAGAAGAGACCGTGCACGGGCCTGGGGAAGCCCAGGTGCTGCCTCCACCCTCCTAGGAGGCTGAGGGGCGAGTGGGGAGACTCCCACATTTGGAGACACACTGCTCCAGGTTCCTGGAGGGAGCTGGGGATGGGCGGAGGCCCTGGGGAAGGGCAGGCACGGGAGCAAGGCCTGCCAGGATAGGGCTGCTCCCTGAGTGACCTGCCAGCCTGCGAGGAGGAAGGGCTCATGCCGGACCCAGGCCAGACTGCCCCACGCTCAGGAACCTGGGCCGAGGCCAGACAGCCAGGACGGACCGCCAGACCAAGACCAGGGCAGGAGGAGCAGGGAGGCCAACTTCAAGGCCACAAGCCTCCCAGGGCACCTCACCCAGAGGTGGGAGCAAGAGCCTGCACACCTGAGCCGGTTAGGCAGAAGGGCTCAGAGCAGAAGGGGACTGAGATAGCAGGGAGGGCCCTATGACTATGGGGTCCCAGCCTTCCCCTATAATCCCAAGTGCCCACCGGAGCCTCGAGGAGTGTCAGGCTGCAGCCCACTCTCCCTGGCAGCAGCCCGTTCCCAGACCTCTGGACTCCGGCCTCCAGTTGCCGTCTGCTCTGGCAGCACAGTGGGAAGTGGGGTCAGGGAGGGGACAGGCACCCCCAAGGCCCCTAGCACAGCCAGGACACACTGGGGCATGGCCTCTGTGGCTTTCACACCAGCAGTGTGGCTCTTTTTTCTTTTTTTTTTTTTAACATAACGTGCTTTTTTTTAAATAATTTTTTTATTTAAGTTTATTTATTTTAATTTGACCAGAGCGGGAAAGTGAGAAAGCAAGCTGCCAGGTCTAGGACTCAAACCACGGTCAGCCATGTGGGAGTCCAGTGCCCTTAACCACCATGCCACCTGCCGGCCCTTACTGTGGTTATTTCTACAGTCTCAGATGCTCAGGCCCCAGGCAGGCATGGGAGGCCCAGAGGTTGGCCAAGCTTCAGCTGCGACGTGGGATTCCTCACGCAGGCGAGGGAGGTGGCCCCTGGCGGTTCTTGACCTCACAGTCACACATCAAGCAGGGCCTGAGGGATGCACGGACGTACACTCCGCTCAGGTTTCTTCTTCTTTCCTGTTTTTGCTGCAGGGCACGTGAACTAGCCAGAGAGTGACAGAGAGCCGGAGGGGAAGTGAGAAGTCACTTGCCCAGTGGAGCAAGGGCACTGTGCAATTGCTTCTCCTCCATGCTCTCGGAACTTGGGGCACTAACACGTGCATCCAATGTGATTTTCTTTTTTTCCCCCTTAAAGAATTACTGGTACCAGCAGTTGGCATAATGCCTATGTCACTGGACTCCCATGTAGTCGACAGCGATTTGTTATTTGAGTCCCAGACCCCATGGCTTAAACTTACGCTGAGCACATGTGCGTGGGTGTCCAAGGTCCCAAGAGGAGAATGGAGGAGAAGGGATTGCGGTGTGGCCATCCCCGCAGGGGGGTGATTTCTCGCTTTCTTATCTCTCTGTCTCTTCCTGTCTTGCTGGCAAACACATGTACCCTATGGCAAAAACCTCTCAAAAAAAAATTACGTTATTCGGGAACCAGCAGTTAGCATAATGGCTATGTTGCTGGACTCCCACTTAGTCGACCGAGGTTTCCGTCCCGGACCCAGTGGCTTAAAACTCACGCTGGGCGCGTGTGCGTGCGTGCCCAAGATCCCGAGAGGAGAATGGAGGAGAAGAGATTGCAGCGTGACCATCCCCCCTGGGGGGTGATTTCTCACTTTCTGTCTCTCTCTCTCTCTCTCTCTCTCTCTGTCTGGTAAGTGCACGCGCCCTATAGCAAAAACCTCTCAATAAAAAAAATTTTTTAATTACATTATTTAACTTTATTTATTTATTTTAATTTGACCAGAGAGGAACAGAGTGAGAGAGAAGGAAAGTGAGAAAGCAAGCTGCCAGGTCCAGGACTCAAACTGCGGTCAGTCATGTGGGAGTCCAGCACTTTAACCACCACACCACCTGCCAGCCCTGCCCAATGTGATTTCCAAGCCACTGGGTCTGGGGCTCAACAGCGTAGTCAGCCATGTGGGTCCTAGCGCCTTAACCTCCATGCCACCTGATGGCCCCTCCGTTAATTTCTAACCTCGCATTACCCACTCAAAACACAAACGAATTAAAAATTCATGTTTGCTCAGCCTAGTCAGGGGTCCCAGATGCACCTTCTCAACAGCCTCACCCTGCTCTCCCTACCCGCCCTCAGGGCCGCCTTCCAGGGTTCCTCCTCTCTGGGCCAGGATCTCACCATGACAACGGGCCCTGTGTCCTGGACCTGCCTCTCCTGCAGTTCAAGCTCTCAGCCTGGGAGGCTTGTGCCCCCAGACACCCTGGGCTCCCTTTCGGAGACCAAGCACTGCCGGCTCTGTCTGGCGTCCCTTGGGATTCATGCCCTTTATCGCTAACCCAAAATAAGCCTAAAGCACAAAACCACAAACTCTCCGATGTCAGATTTCAGCTTTTCCTCTCGGACCCCTGCACTCCGACCCTGCCCCGCCATGCTGAGCGTGACAAAGAGGGCTTTCAGGGCCCGCTGAGAGGAGTAACATGAGGCCCAGCCACTCACTGTGGGCAAGTGTGTTCAGGGTCCCATGGGAGGAGCCGACCTGTTTTTGAGTCTGAAACAGAATTCGGAAGGCCTGGGCCAAAAGCACCTCCACACTCTGCCCTGCACAGCTGAGCACCCTGCCTGTGCCTGGGGAGCCTCCCATCTGAAGCAGTCTTCGTGTCTGACTCGCGCCAACCTTTGCGCCGAGGCAGTTGGGCTCTCGCGACACTCTGGCCCACCTCTTCTGGAGGAAGGGCCCTGGGTCTGTCACTGTAGCCACAGAGCACTGGCGGGGCGGCCCCAGCTTACCTTTGTGGCATCCGAAACCCCAAACCTAGGCCCCACGAGCTTGCTCAGGGGTGCCATCCCCGAACTCTGCAGGCTGCGGCCCCTCGCATGCACCGCCACGGCTTGGCTGGGACTCAGTCTCTCAGGGCTCCCTCCAGTATTTCTTTTTTTGTTGTTTTAAGAATTATCTTTTATTTAAGTTTATTTATTTGTTTGTTTGTTTAATTTGACCAGAGAGGGACAGAGTGTGTGAGAGAGAAAGAGAACAGAGAGAGAGGGAGAGAGAGAAAGCAACACCAGGTCCGGGAATCGAACCATGGTCGACCATGTGGGAGTCCAGTGCCCTTAACCACCATGCCACCTGAGGCCCCCAGTCTCTCTTCAATGTCCCAAACACAGAGCCTAAGGGAAGGCAAGTAACCTGGCAGCCCCACCCACCCCTGGTGACTAGGCCCCCCCAGCCCAGAGGGTGGTTACCTGCTGACCTCTGCCCTGGTCTTCAGGCACGAAGCACCAACGCCCAGCTCAGTAAACACACAGGAGCAAACGGCCCGTGTCCCAGTGAACTCATGGGTGTGGCGGCTGACCTGAGGACAGCGCGAGAAAGTGACTGTCCAATTCCAAGCACTGGCAGGTCAGCCCCTGCGCTAAATGTCTCTGCTGTCCCTGAGCAGGCTGGCTGGCTACTGATAACCCTCCTCCCCTGGGGCTTTCTAATCTTCCGGACGAAGTACGAGGAACACACTTTCAGTAGGCTACAGGTGATCCGAAACAGGAAACAGCCTTGGCCCAGAGCTTCCCAACGAAGCTAATGATTGATCTCAGCAACTGCGACCAGCCATGCTTCCCTGAGCATCTGCCCCAGTGGGTGTGGAGTCAGACAGGGTCCTGGGCTGCAGAGGTCCTCTGCCCCAGCCTTCCCAGTAGCCGGGACCACGGCTGCACCACCGCCCTCGGCTTTCCCTGGGGGCTCAAACCGAGCCTTGGCCTGCGCATGGCCTCTGCCAGCCGGGCAGCGCGTCTGGAACGTGCTACATGGCTGGGCCAAGTCTCTCTCTTTTTTGTTTTCTCTTGCTATAGGGTATGTGTGCTCACTGGAGTGAGACAGAGAGCCAGAAAGTGAGAGAGCACTCCCATGTGGGGACGGCCACACTGACTCCCTTCTCCACTCTCTTGGGGTCTTGGGCACACGTGCCTGGTGTGTTTTTCAAGTTGCGGGGTCTAGGACTTGAACCATGGTCTGCCACATGGGATGCAGCCGCCTTCACCTCTGCACCTGCTGAGTCTCTTTTAAGCTTTGCTCTAGGGCATGGTATACCCACCGGACAGACACAGACAGGTAAAGTGAGAAATCCCTCCCCAGGGAGGAGGGCCACTCCCTGCCCCGGCCCCATGAAGCAGAAGGGGTTAACCGTGAGTGGAAGTGGCAGGGGATTTAGAAAAGGCACAGACACCTAAGCAGAGGAAAGTGGGGGTCGGGTGGTCGAGAGCACCGTGGCACTGAGCGGGTCTCAGCTTCATCCTTGCACACGGCAAAGCCGCCGTTACCGACCCTGGCTCTGCAGTGTCTTGCATCTCATGGTTCTAAACAAGCTCCCCCTGGCCGGCACAAGGCTCCTCACTCTTCCCTGCCCTGTGGTGTGGACCGTGGCTTCATTAGGGCTTTCTTCCGCTTGCCCTGCAGCATCAGTGCCGGGACCATTATCTGCTCTAGAGGCCACTCCCTACAACTCCCCAATCCCTTCTCCTCCATTCACCTCTTGGGATGCTGGGTTCACTCACATGCACCTGGCATGCATTTCAAGTCCCTGAGTCCAGGACTCGAACCACTGAACCAGCCATGTGCAATCCAGTTGCCACCACGTCCACTCCATCTGTCGGCCCTGCCGAGTCTCTTTTTGACAGCCAGAAAATATGCAATTTTATTTCTAAAATCCAGGGGATCATTCAAGGTGTGGAAGAACCAGTGTTTCCCTGACTGCCTTGTCACGTGCTCCGTGAACGAATGGTGTGTCTGGCCCTCGTGCTGTTCTTGCCTGGTACAGACCCAGACCACTACGTCTAGACGCTGCCACTGCCCCCTGCTGTGTGTAGCTCAGAAAACCCAGTTCACCCATGGAAGTTCCTTATGACTTAAAATATTGACTAGACTTTCGTTTTAAATTCTGGGGGGAGAGGGAAGTAGGTGGCATGGTGGTTGGGATGCTGGACTCCCGCATGGCCAACCACAGTTCGAGTCCTGGACCTGGTGGCTTGCTTTCTCATTTTCCTTCTCTCCCTCCCCCATCAAATTTTAAAAAATAACAAAAAATAAAATAAATAAATTATACCAGAGGACACATGCAGTTGCAGTCAGAGAGTGGGAAAGTGAGAGTGCACCCCCAGAGTGAGGGCCATGCCACAATCCCTTTTTTTTTTTTTTTTGAGAGGTTTTTTGCTATAGGGTGCGTGCGCTCGCCAGACAGACAGAGAGAGACAGAGAGACAGAAAGCGAAAAATCACCCCCCAGGGGGGATGGTTATGCCACAGTCCCTTCTCCTCCATTCTCCTCCATTCTCCTCTCGGAATCTTGGGCATGCACGCACACGCACCTGGCGTGAGTTTAAGCCACCGGGCCTGGGACGCGAACCGCAGTCGACTACATGGGAGTCCAGCGACATAGCCATCACGCTAACTGCTGGTTCCCACAATCCCGTTCTATTTCTCCCTCCTTTTCAGGATTTTGAAGACACATTCGCACCTGGTGTTTCCAAGCTGCTGGGTCTGGGCCTTGAACCACAGTCAGCCTGTGGGACACAGCTGCCCACACATGTGGCCTGTCACATGTCAGTGGCTAAAAGCCAGCATGGCCGACTTCAGTCACTACTGGTGGGGCACATGTGCCCAGCGCCCGTTGGCCCTGCTAGGACCCGCTGTGTCTCACGGCCAGTCTGGGCCCCCTCTGGCTCACTCAGTTCTGCTTACTGGCTAACACGTCTCTGAAGCACTGAAGGCTGCCACAAGCACCGTTAGGACACGCTGGCCTGACTTCTCCCCTTGGGCCCATTTCCAGTCCAACCTGCCCTTTCAGGGGATGTGCAGATGGCCTGGGAGTTACAAAAGTTCCGGTTTCCATGGCATCCACAGACATGGCGGCCCTCTGTTTCCTCCCTGCAGCCATGGCAGGGGAATAAACTTTCAGCTACTAAAAGCAAGCAAGTAGACTCTGACTTTTACATTCCCCTAGTGGGGCCAGCAGGCGGCGTGGTGTTAAGTGTGCTGGACTCCCGCATGGCTGATGGTGGTTCAAGTCCCAGACCTGGCAGCTTGCTTTCTCACGTTCTCTCTCTCTCACTCTGTTCTTCTCTGGTCAAATGGAAATAAGTAAATAGATAAATTAAGTTAAATAAAATAATTATTTAAAAAATTATCCTAATAAAGCTGTGCTCAAACCTCATTGCTGACGTCTTGCAAGGTGCCAAGGGACCCCGGGAACAACAGCTGACCGTGGGCCGTATGCAGCTGACCGCAGGGCCTCTAGCCAGCAGGTGGGGGTCATCACGAACCCCTGAGCAAGGCCCACGGCTATGGGCAACGGCACCTTCAGATGAGACCCTAAAGGACTTAGAGGGACACCTGAAGCCTCTGAAGGATGGCACGTGTCCCTTGCTGCACGCCAACTGTTTCCCAGCAGGGCAGTCCCCACCTGCACTCCAGTTCCTGCCAGCCTCGCCTAGCCGGGGCATCGGGAGGCCAGGCCGCAGTTCTGAGGGCACAGGCAGCCACGGTTCTGACAAGCTGGCACTGCAAGCTTAACGAGAGTGGTTGTGAATGGAAGTCTCTCTTCTCACGGACTCTAAAAGAGGAAGCCAGGCTGTGTGGGCCCCAAGAAGCAGCCACCACCCCATCAGTGGGGGACACGTCCCGCCGTCACTCTAGCACTGGAGCATATTGCTGCCCTGCGGAAGCCGGCTGTGCTCCCTGGCAGGACTCGATGTGTCTGCTGGCCCTCGGGCAGCCCCGGTGGGGGAGGCGAGCACAAGGGGGCGAGGAGGCAGAGCCCGGGCTCTTCACACAGTCACGCAGGGCTTGGCAGACTCTCTGTCCTCAGACCTCCGGCTTCCCTCCCACAGATCCTCACCTGCCTGTCATTCCGGTGAGCTGGGAGAACCGAGGGCACCAACCCTTGGGGGGCACTTCCTTTTCACTGAACTCCTTTCTGCTGAAGCTTAGAGCCGGGGGTACCTGCTGGAGGGTGGCCGGGCCCTACATCCCTCCTTCTCCATGCTCAGTTGCTGGGGAAGTCTGTTCTCAGCCCCAGGAATCTGCCCTCCACCTGCTCCCGCCCGCCCGCCATGGGGCTGTGCCTGTCTGCGATGGTGCTGGCTGAAGTCGGGATGAGCGTGCACCTAGCAGCACCGCGCCCTCCAAGGGAGCTGCCTGGAAAGGATGCACAAGCCGACTAAAGTGGGTGTTGTTCCCCGCCAGCTGCCTCTGTGCAATCTTCACGAGACACGGGCCAGGTGGCCCCAGGCATTCAGCCTGCAGGAAGGGTGGCTTGTCACTGCTCACAGCTGAGGGTTTATGCACCTCCAGGGATGGCTTTGGCCCTTAGGTGCTCAGAACCGAGCCCTGCGTGCATGCGTGTGCACTTGTGTTCGTGTTCACAGTTGTCCCGGCTCCCAGCCCCTCCATATTGCCGGCGTCCACCTGGCCAGGACCCCACACTCACTGCAGTGCATCTCGGCTGGACACGGCCACCTGGGTTTGCCAGGAGCCCCGGGTGTACACCGTGTCTTCCCAGCCCCGAGGCCCCTCCCCGCAGCTCCGGGTCTG